ATTTTCCTCTGCTTTGCTAGCATAACTTACTCATTATCCTTGTTAATTTTTATTTCCTGGCCATCTCTGCCCAGGTCAAGCAAACACAGACAGGGACAGCAGAGAGAGCAGCAGCAGTGCTCATGGTACAGCAACAGAAGGTACTCAAGCTTCCCCGTATCATATCTGGTGAAGAATGGTTAAAGGAAGTCTATCACAAAGGTTTTGCTTTGATTGCTAAAGAAAATATTCACTGCAATTCCTTCTATATGTAGTAGAATGTTCCTGGCCTGGACACCCCTTCGTAACATATTCCCAGTCATCAAAATGTTTCAATACATATTTTATCATATACCTATTTGCTAATTATTTAACACTTTAAAAATGTTTTGTGAAAAACCACATTCAACCATCAATCATTCGAAAACATTCCCTATGATAAAACATATGCAGCCTGTTATCACTGTAGTGCATGTGAACAAGAAAAGGCTGTAAAGAGGCAACACCACATCAACAGCACTCCCTATGCTATCTCTATCACAGAAGAAGCACATTGTCGAAATGGTTGCTGTGACCCTTTTTATAATGAGAAAGTTGGATTATTCAAAAGCCCCCTTATTGGCCCCCTTTAAGCTTACTGATCTAACTTTAAAAGGCAAGACAGTGCATTATGATTACTAAGGGGGTTATTCACTATGGATGCGAAGGATACAGCCGTAGCTTCGGCTGATCCTTCTGCTCTCTTCGGCCAACTCTGCCCTTCAATTCAGTCGAACCGAAGGGCTGCTGTACGGGCTATTTACAATAGCCCGTACAGCAGCCGAAGGCAGCCAATCGGCTCAGCCTAGCCGAAGGCATATGCTTTGGCTCGACTGAACCAAAGTTACAGCCAAAGCACGGAGAAAGGTTGGCCAAAGCCAACCTTTACAACGCTCCACCCAGTTGTAATGACAAGCCAGCGTCCCCAAATGACCTGATCTGTCATTAAACAATAACAACTGGGTGAAGCCGGCTGCAACGTCACGGCCGGCTGTGCCCAGTTGTTATTCATTGGCTGGGACCTGCTAGAAGACTCTGACAAGTGCAGGGTAATAGGAAACATTTGGACAGAGCTAGCTGTCACTGCTAGCTCTGCCCAATTGTTTTTCTTTTGCCGGTATCATTCCCAGCGTTTTTTCAAAATTATTTTTAATTTTCTTTTTTTCTTTTCTTTAACTTTCCTATTTTCTTAAATTTTTAAGAAATTAAAAACAAAAAAAAAACATTTTTTCTTTTTTTAAATCAATTTCACTCTTTTTCTATTCTGCTCGGTACCACGGTGGTACTGAGCAGAATAGCCGAGCCGAATGCCGGAGCTTCGGCTCAGCCGATCCAGATGTTGGATTGGCTGAGTCGAACTCCTGCACTTCGGCTCAGCCGAACATGCAGAGCATGTGCGTTCTGACCGAAGGCAGCCAATGTATGGCTGATTTTAGCCGATGTATGGCTTAAATCAGCTGTACAAGCCAGAAGTGAATAGCCGAACAGTGTTCGGCTCACTTCACTTCAGCTGGGTTCTTCACTTGGCTGACTTTGGCAGCTTTGTGAATAACCCCCTAAGAATTTGGTCTGGTGAATCACTGCATACATTTCCAGTGACCGTGAATTTTGAACACACTGGATATGCTGAGAACATGAACCGTATTCCTAGTAACATGCAATTATCCCCAATGTCCTTTTAGGGATGGTACACACTAGCATTCTGGCCGGCTCACTGCGTTCTGGGACGGGAGGGGCCAAGGCGGTGCATTGAAGTCAATGGCACGTCAGTGCGATCGGCTGCACAGGAATGCGTAGCACATCAATGCAGCATTTTTTCTGACGGCACTGGACCGGAAAGCAGGCAAATTGAACAGTGAAGGAGCAGCTTCTCACTGGTGAATTCATAACTGTGCTCTTCTCCAGACAGCAAGCTTCAAACCTGATTGCTTTATGGGGCTTCTCTTTCTGCATAGGGATTACAGTACATTAGTAAAAAGATAGCCGAAAGTCCTTTTTAAACATACAGACCTTGCAGTAACATGCACATGGCGGTAGTTAAAAAATGTATCTGTAATGACAAATTCTATGGCATCTGGGCTACATGGATCCACTGCTGCTCGGGCAAAACACAAGGACCTCTGACCTAGTGGAGGATCTCTTATTTAACCATTTCCTGGGTTGGAGCCCTACTGTAATTTTACATGACCCCATCTACTCTATGTTGTATTTAGACCTGGACTGACACATAATGTAAGTAAATTCGATTTAGTGCTGTGGTTTAGGGGATGCATGATATTGGTCCTCTGTGTTAAACACTGATTCAAAGCTTTAAGTTCTAGCTAAGTTGTCTCTACTGATAACAGCAATAACGTATGTATAGGCAATTTTGTTTTATTCAGAGAGGGGAGGGGTTAGACCCTCTGTCAAATTTGTATTACTGTCTGTGTCCCTGTAGGGAGTTTTATCCCTCTATTTGTACTGGTGACCAGGGGCGTAACTAGAAACCACAGGGCCCCATAGCAAAAGTTGTATGGGGCCCCCTTCCCCAAAAAAATGCAATTGAACACCCCCCACTAATGTTGTCACCCCACAACATTTATATTTGCTGCATACAGTTTCTAATAAATCTCAATGGAAATATTATTTTTGAATCTGTATTTCAAGTGGAATCTTTAGAGCAGTAACGTCATCCTACTGGAGTCCATAGCAATAAGGTATTGTTGGTCCTGAAAGAGTTACTGCCTACAAGCTGTGCTGACAGGCACATTTGCCAGAGCTTGGTGGTCATGAAACCACTTGAAATAAAGATTAAAATAAGTATTTTCATTGAGATTTATTAGAAACTGTATGCAGCAAATATAAGAGCTGTGGGGAGGCAATGTTTAAAAGGTGGGTTATTTTTTAGCCTTTCACTCTACTTTAAACACTGCCGCCAATGAAGCTGGGGAAAGGTGTATAATTACATGTGTAATGTAACCCCCCCCCCCC